TTTGAAATGATAATTTCCTTGTATTCTACCAGCAATAAACATCGGTGCTTTTAAATTTTTGTTGGTCTGATTTATATAAACTGGCATATCATCATTAGTTATAATTAGAATTACTAGTGAACTTAAGCATTTAAAAATTTCTATTTGTTATTTGAAATTCATTTTGAGTTGTCTTTTCATAACTTTCCCAATTATCCACTAGATATTGTCTTTGTCATAACAATTGATGAGATATGTATGTGTGTATAAAGTTTACATGCATGATTTTACCTTTTTCATGGAATATGCAAGTTATAGGTACTCTATGTGTCTACATATATTAACACTTTACATTTATACTTACTTTTAAGAGTTCTAATTTTTATCCTTTGACTCAGTCTGTATTTCTTATATGTCATAATATTCTAAAAAAACCCCTCCTTACTTTAGAAAGACTAGAAAATGTATCTACTAACTCATTTCACCATTTTTTCTTTTTGATGTATAACTTAGCAAATTTCTTGCCTTATTCATTCTTTTTTCTTGTTATACTTTTCTCATGAGAGCAAATTATAAAATGCAAATCTGATTGTTTCTTGCCCAGCTTAATCTTCCACACCCTCCCCCCCCTCCAAGAGTCACTAAAATAAAATATAAACATGAAATGTAGCAGATAAGACCATTCATTATAGGGCTCTATGCAGCCTTTTCATCTTAGGTTTTGCATCACTTTGCCTCTCTTCACAGACCTACCCATATCCCTACCTATTTCATTAAACAATATTGCCTTTGTCAATAGTGTCCTTAATTTTTGTACTTTCAGCTCTCAGGATACAATTCGTCATCATAAATATTGTATGTTCAATATATGTTTTTGAATGAAAAACTTGTTTCCCAAAGGTGTGCTTCTCTTTTATGCCTCCATATTTTGTACATGCTATGTCCTTTCCTAAAAAGGTCTATTTTTCAGTCATCTCCTGTTTTACTTATTAAACATTATATCTTCTTCATAATCTCTCTAAACTTTCTATACTCCTATAGTATTGCATTATACAACCATAAGTATGTCTTATTTCTTTCCTGAAATTACCCCCATATATCTTTAAAAGATCTATTCATATTTATTTACCTAGTTTCTCCTTAGCTCCTTTATATACCATTGTTATGGCCTAGAGTATATAGGGTTTCCCAAAACACTATGTACACATTTAATAACTGATAGTTCAATTGATGTTTCCTTTCAGATTTAACCCATTGGAATGAATATTTATGCAAAACGTGTATACATTTTTTCGAAAACCCTTATTTGTAACTGAAAGGTGAAGTCATAGTAATAAAAACCTATTATATATTCTCTGTATGAACATACACACATAAACATATATACTTGTATATAAAATATGTGTCTATACATTCTTTTCAGTACCAGAGGAGCTCTTGATTTTCCAGAGGAATGTACTTGTTTAGAATGATGATGAGTATATTTTCCTCATGCTCCTCACTGGGTTGTAATTCTCGTTTTCTTTTTCAGTATTTCAGAATGGTCCCCTAGGAAGAGATTTGGATATGGAAATTAGTCTAGCAGCATTTAAACCGTCTGACTCATTGGGATTTTCTGAATGGAAGAAAATAATTACTGGGAAATAAATCAGACCTCCCCTCAAATTCATTAGAAGCTCTTTGAACATTTAAGAACATGAACTACAATAAGGAAGGAGACAAGTGTTATATAGGGGCGCAGAAAGTCTTTTCCACACCTTAAACATTATGTTCCTTACATAGTTGCAGCAAATACCAAACCCCTTGTACTGAAGAAGTGAGGCAGGCCCTTGTCAGAAGGTAAGAACTATTGAGAAGGCATTGAGCCTTCATGAAGGAAGAAGGTATTGGGATACTTTCCCCCAAACCAGCAGAACCATGCTTCCCAGAGGCAGATTTAGTGCACTGGTGCTAAATAGAAGTCAGAGGACAAACAAAGAAGCATTATGTGATGGGAAATAAGGCTAGTGCTGTGAATAGCGGTGGCCTCTGCTGGGATAAGGTATAGAAAGTCCAAGCTTTTATGATTTTAGAAAAAAATATGATAGATATAAAGTTAGAGAAAGGAAAGTAGCAGGAGTTTTAATGGAAGAAACTACAGAAGAGATATATGAAAGGTTAAGCTACTTTTTAGAAGATTAATTTCTGTTTTAATAAAATGAGGTCCAGGTCATAATATTCTGCTTCATGGTTCTTTTTTTTTTTTTTTAAATATATTTTATTGATTTTTTTTTTTTACAGAGAAGAAGGGGGAAGGATAGAGAGTTAGAAACATCGATGAAAGAGAGAGACAATGATCAGCTGCCTCCTGCACACCCCCCACTGGGGATGTGCCCGCAACCAAGGTACATGCCCCTGACCGGAATCGAACCTGAGACCTTTCAGTCTGCAGGCCAATGCTCTATCCACTGAGCCAAACCGGTTTTGGCTGCTTCATGGGTCTTTGTACCATAATATAGATCTCTTAGCCAGAGGTGTCCCCAGGATTGTAATTTTTCATGCTCTCTAAGAATAATTTTCAGTTCAATTCTATCTTCTTCCTTACATGCATTGTAAGTTTCCTACTAATACATGTTGGTGATTCCTTCCACTGCTATGCAAAGTAGATTGTCTCAGCCTCAATTGCAGCTACTGGTCCGAAACCCTGGGCTATTGACCCTTAAAGAACCACACACCTTAGGAGTGCAGCATGTCCACATCATCTGCTTTCAGGCCAGAATTCATCTCCCGGTATTGAATTTGGTAGTTACAATTCTGTCTTGAAGAAACTGACAATAGACATCTTAAGTTATAAATCAGCAGAAAATAACAAAAGTTTCCCTCCTCTGTGCGCTTTTTCCTAGCAGAGCAAACATACCCAATCTTCATTCAGACCCTTGTGTTATTTCCATCTCATTCTGAACAACCTAGTTTCTTGCCCACAAGGCAGCCAGAAGCTTTTTCGAATCCATTGGAGCATTCCCTAAAACATTGCTGAAATTTATCTTGTCTTTATTCTTTTTATTTTTTTATTTTTTTATTTATTTTTTATTATGTATGAGACCAAGCGTCCCTGGCTGCTACAGTAGTCTAGCAGACAGGTATAGTTAAGAAACAACTTTATTTTGAGCAGGGGGAACGACAACACAGCACTTAACAGCTATATTGTAGTCTAAATCCTGCTTTTCTTGTCTTTATTCTTACTATAAAGTCTTTTTCATCTTTCATCCCAAGTAATTAAAAATGCTATTCTTCTCAGTAATGTGATCCTTCTATTCCTCATACATCCTGTTGCCCTGAACATTCTTAAAAGGCTAATTCACTATTTCACTCTTCTATTTTCTTAAAAGGCTGATTCACTATTTCACTCTGTAATACTATTCTTCTTCTTACCACAGAATACAGAACTTTCTGATTTCCTTCCTTTCCTCTAGCCTTATCAGTAGCTTCTCTCCTTGAGCTCAAGTTTTATTCCCTCTCCCCAAAAAACAAACGTGGCATCCTTTAAGCTTTTCTACACTTGTACATAGTTTTACCTTCCCCTATAAATGCACCTTACCCACTTATTTGAACTCTTATCTTCAAAATTTATCTCAAACACCTCATAGAAGCCTCTGATTCTCCCCTTTCCCTTCCAGTTAATTATTCTCTTCTCTGTGGCACTTTTCCTTTAAACACTACCCTGCAATTTATTTGTTTACATATATACCTCTTCCATTAGATTTGAAATCCCATGAAGACAAAAAACAAAACAAAACAAAAAACAAAACCCTTGGTTACCAGTATAAGTATCATAAGATCATAGGCACATTGCTTGACAGAACAGCAAAATCAGTAATAAGTATATAGCAAAAGCAAATAAATCTTTGGTCCCCCCCCAAAAAAAAATAAAAGAGTTCATGTTTGACTAGGTAAGCATATTTATTCTAAACTAGCAATTCTATAATGTCCCAGTTAAATATATAGATAAAGTACAGGACTTATCAAAACAACCTAAGCCCTTTTTCTTTTCTGAAATCTTGTTCTCCCTTTTTGAGAAACTGCTTAAGCATCTTGTAGGCTCATCTTTCTGGCTATATGATTCTTGAACCTAATATCTTTATATGTTGTTGTTTTTTTAATCTCAAGAATGTTCTTATCCCATAAAACATTGGAAAGACCATAATTTAGCTCAGACCTGCACGTTGTTGTAGCTGTCTTTCCTTCTGAGATCGCAAGAAGAACACTATAAGACCAATCAGCACAATGACCCCAAGGACTCCATATATAACAGGGAGTGCATTTCCTAAGGGCAAGTAAACATCAGGAGATAAGAATGTCTTAGCCAAAAGAAGTGGATCCCTAATTACTATCCCTTTCTTAGGTCAGATACAGGATCACTGAAGTAAGTGCCATATCCATAGCACTTCTTACCTAAAGTCTCTTCACAAAAGGAATTCTAAATAATGTAGACAGTTGGTCCTATGCTCAGAAACCTCAAGATATAAATACCTTTGGCATTTGATGATTCTTTGGTTTCATTGCCTGTAGGAGAAAAAGAGGAGACTCAATTCTAAGAATAATATATAGAACAAATATTTCTATTTCTGTATACTCAAAACTTATATAACTTTATTAATCAATGTTATCACAATAAATTTAGTCTTAGAAAAAAAAAGTAGGACCTGATGACTGACTAGGCCGTAGGGGTGTCGAACTCAATCAGAGAAGGGGCCAAAATCTAAAATCCAGCCTAAATCACGGGCCGAATGGTTTACTGAACAATCATAAACTGTCATTGTGATGGAAACGCAGCTGAGTGCAGTGATTACAGCGCCGTGCGGGCCACATTGAAAGGCCTGGCGGGACGGATTTGGCCCGCGGGCTTTGTGTTTGACACAGGTGGTAGGGGAAGTGATAGATCAAAGGGAGAGGAAGAAATTCAAACAAGAGATTTGGATAGGTGGTGGTACTACTTCCTGTGTTAAGGAATATCGACTTTTATTGAAAACAATTAATTTTTTATTTTCTACGTGTGCCTTGAGTAGCCGGCTCTCAATCAAGCAAACTATTACTTCTGACCTAAAAAGATGTTGTTCTCTTCCCTCTGCACAGGAACACAGATGAGTAATATGCTTTTCCTTGGTGAAGGCCAATGATTAACAACAAATATTTTCATCATTTCTTCAGACGGAAACATTAGGATTCTTTTCCCACTAGATCCCTATGTTGACACACCCAGTCTTTACACGATGCACTAGATGGCTCACCACTTCTTAGCTACCAGAGGTTCCAAGCATAATCCTGTATCCTGGCACTCACCTGAACACATCACAGCAGCATCTTCCTTGTGCCCACAGTCACTGTTCCCCCAGGATTTGGCAGGACAATCCCACAAGGAAGACTCATTCCCTTTGCACTTCACTTCACTGAGCCATATGGGTCCAGTCCCCAGACCAAATGCTGCCTCTTTGAGTGCCTTCAAAGCTGAGCCACAGCCCAGCTGTCGACACACCACCTGAGCACTGTCAAGGTTCCAGGAGTCATTACACACTGTCCCCCAGGAACCTTCATGCCAGACCTCCACACGTCCAGCACAGGTAGTGTTTCCTTCTTGAAGTCTTATCTTGCCTGAAAAATCAGAGACATCAAGGCCATTTATGAGAAGATAAAACTCCTCAGAGGTCACAAGGGAAAAGAGATATTTGAAACTCTTTTTAAGATTATTTTAAAACGTTGCCTTTTCAATGCACATTTAAAAAGATATATTTTAAAAAATATATCTTTTATCATGTCCTTTCAGCAAAATATTTCATATTGGATATAAGAACAGTAGTGTAAGTCACAAAATGTGAAATAAGTAATGTGAACATTGCATGATGTTAAATTTTCTCAACTATAAAAGAACTTGAGAGATTGACAGGTACATAGAATATTTCTTCCAGTTTAATAAGATGGGAAATACTTTAGGATTGGTCTTTATGACTACTTTTCATTGTATATTAGTACATCAAAATGATATTGAAGAAAACATTGGATAGGTAAAGTAGACTATTCAATAGTTAAATACTGAATCACGTATTCTCTGCTCCTCATTTGTTCACAGAAAAAGCAATTGGACTTTCAGGAAGACCATGGGCATATAAATCTTCTATGAAAAAATGATCTCTGGTCTTGAAAACGTACAGATCAAATGAAATAAAACCAGTTTTACGATCCAGGTACAATAGTTATTAACTGGAGTTTATTCATTCCTACTTAATGGGTTCAGAAGATCATAGTGGAGTCACAGAATGGAATTTTCATATGAACCAGAATGGAATTTTCAAATACTCACTGGAACATGTGATCCAGGTCTCCTCTGAGGGGCTTGCCAGTCTCTGCTTCCATGGAGATGATGGGCACGCCCATAATGTGTCAGGCCCTTTTGGACACTGAACATTGTCCACCCACATGTACCTGGACATTGTCTTGACTGCAGATGCAGGGCTGATGGTCCCTTTGTCTGCACAGCCCAGCTGCCTGCATGCCACATCCACAGTGATTTGAGACATGTTGTTCTTGCCAATGCTGCCCCATGTTCCATTATAAAAAAGTTCCAGACGTCCTGCACAAGTCTCTCTGCCGGTTTCACTGGTCAGTTTCAGAGCCAAGAACTCTGGAGTGAAATACAGAGTGAGTAATTTCACATCTTCTCTGAAAATTCACAAGGCTCCTTCCGTTTACTCTGATGTGAGAATGACTTCAAAAATTAGCCCTACTTGGTTTGGCTCAGTGGATAGAGCATTGGTCTGCAGATCAAAGGGTCCCAGTTGGAGGATGATTAAGGAAACACACCTTGGTTGCAGGTTCCTCCTTGGCCCATGCCTGTTTGGGGCTCCTGCCTGGAGGCAACTAGTCAATGTGTTTCTCTCACATTGAGTTTTGCCCTGTCTTTCCCTCTCTCTTCCATTCTCCATAAAAATCAATGGATAAATATCCTTGGGGGCAGATTAGCAACCACAAAATTAAGTACAATATATCAATTAGTAGTAATTTTCTTTGTAATTGTGGGGTGATTTAGTAGATTTTATTAAAATATGGTATTTTTCTATACCTTCTGCTTTTATATTCTTGGGTTTTATACTCAGGGAACTCTCCAGAATGCCACCAATGATTTAAGTTGACTTCTAGATCTCAATAAAAGGCTAAAATCTTAATTAATTGCACTAGAGGCCCAATGGCTGAAGATTTGTGCAAGAATGGTCCTTCCTTACCCTGGCTGCTGGCACTGCCTTTCCTCTGGCTGGAACTGCCTTTTCACTCAGGCCCAGAGTGACCTTTCTGCCTTCCCATTCTGCCCAGAGGCCCAGAACTACTGGGGCAGTATGGAACGCCTGTTTCATCACCATGACTATGATGCAAGTGTCCCGCCCTGCCCCTGGCTGTTTGGGTCCTGCATATGCAAATTAACCCAACATCTTTGTTGGGCTAATTTGCATGCTCAGTCCTGATTGGTTGGTGGGTGCCACAAAGGTATGGTCAACTTGCATCTTACTCTTTTATTAGTATATATAGTTTGGACTTTCTACCTAAGTTACTGTATTTTATCATTAAGAATTTTATTCTGGAATGAACAATTCAAATATACAACTATAAAATAAAACGTTTATCACCCTAAAACCCAATAGAAATCTAGCTGAAAGGAAGCCCTACAACTAGACTAAAAGACAAAGAGGAGAATTCAGGACACAAGCGCTGAAAAACTTAGGTATAAGGGTCGTGAACACGATATGGGCTGGCGGCGAATCCCGGCTGGCGGAGGGCATTGCTTTTTTCAACCTGGAGAGAGACAAGCTTCCAATCTCTCTGAAATCCAGTTTCTGGGGAGAGGCTAGACTGTCCTCCATTGGATTGGAAAGTGAGGGTGGCTGGCTTGCAGAGCTTTGCGCAAGAATATTTGTTTGCTGTGCTGTGGTGTGAGACGTGGGGAGATGCAGAGACGCAGGAATGCGGATCAGAGAGACAGCTGATGGGCAGCCATCGCTATTGGCCACACCGCAGCCTGGTGATGCCCTGAGAGTCCGCCTTGAGACTGGACCCCTCACAGCACATTCAAGCTCCAAGCAGTGGCTTTTGCATACGAATGGCCCTCTCAGTTGCAGTTTAACCTAGCAAAGGAAGAGAGGACTGTGGTTCACACTGTAGCTCCTGCAGGGTGCAGTAGCTGAACTGCACATGTTGGAGAGCCAGAAGCCAGTGTTCCTAGTGCTTAGTTTTAACCCCTCATACCAATGAGTGACAGTTTAGCAATTCGGAAGGCTGCCTCAGTGAGCACCAAAGCCCCATTGGAACAAAGCGTGTCTCCAGCACAGCAGTTCTTCCTTTATAGACACAGCAGGTCCTCACAGACAATTGGCCTGGAGTCAGTTCCTCCCAGTGTACCAACAGCAATCAAGGCTTAATTACACCAAGACTTTGCATTCAGCCCAAAACGGGATATAGCAAAAGCAACCACATCAGGTGATTGGGGAAGCTGAGCTACTGACCACACAAAGCCACTCCATCTACACAGGGAGGCAGCCAAAATGAGGAGACATAGAAGCATGTCATGAATGGGAGAGATTGAGGAAAGTAAATTACTGGATGACACAGAGTTCAGAATCACATTTATTAGGTTACTCAAGAATCCTAAAAACCTTTGAGAAACTTGATGAGACCTCCAAGAAGCTTAGTGAGACCTTCAAAGACCTTAATGAGGAAAAAATACCAAAAATATGAAAATAGACCAGCCAGAAATTAAGCATACACAGTCTGAAATATAGAATATACAGAAACTCAACTATAGATCAATGTGCCCCAAGAATCAAACCAAAGATCTGGAATATAAGGAAGCAAAAATCACCCAACCAGAGAGGCAAAAAGAAAGAAGAATCCAAAAGTGTGAGGATAGCATAAGGAGACTCCGGGATGGCTTAAAGTGTACCAACATCTGGATTGTTGGGATGCCAGAAGAAGAGAGCAAGCAGGATATTGAAGTCCTTCTGGAAGAAATAATGACAGAAAACTTTCCCTACCTGGTGAAAGAAATAGACCTACAACTTCAGGAAGCACACAGAATCCCAAACAAGAGGAATCCAAGGAGGACCACACCAAGACACATCATAATTAAAATGTCAAGGGCAAAAGACAAAGAGAAAATCTTACAAGCAGCAAGAGAAAAACAGCTAGTTACCCACAAAGGAATACCCATACGAATGTCAGCTGATTTCTCAACAGAAACTATGCAGGCCAGACGGGAATGGCAAGAAATATTCAAAATGATGAACTATAAGAACCTACAACCAAGATTACTCTACCCAGCAAAACTATCATTCAGTATCGAAGGTCAGATTAAGAGTTTCACAGACAAGAAAAAGTTAAAGGAGTTTATCAACATCAAACTAGGATTACATGAAATGTTGAAGGGTATTCTTTAAGAAGAGGAAGAAGAAAAAGGTAAAGGTAAAAAATTATGAACAACAAAAAGACATCAAATACATACCTACCAATAAGTGAATCTAAATTTAATTGAATAAAAAATCTGAAGAACAAAATGGACTGGTGAATATAATAGAATCAGGGACATAGGGATTGGACTAACAATTCTCAGGGGTAAGGGGATCTGAGGGATTCGGGAAGAGATTGGACAAAAATCTTACACCTATGAATGAAGACAATGGGGTGGGGTTGGGAATCAGGTGGAGGGGAGCGATTGGGGGGTGAGGGAAGAGGAACAATCTGAACAATAAAGACTTATTATATTAAAAAATAAATAAAAATAAAAAAGCTAAAAAAAGGAAAAGAAAGAATTTTATTCCATTTATTTTTTTGCAACTGTTCTTGACAGTTAAAATTTACTGAGATATTCAGATTCTAAACCCAATATTTTGTGTACATTATCTTAAAATGAAATAGTCCCCTTTCTGACACATAACAGTTTTGTTGCACATGTTCTCAACCAAATGTGTGTCATTAAATTTGGTTGATGTCTATATCACTCCTGGCATATAGAATTTTTCACTTCCATAAGTTACTAATCATAGTACTATTTTTCCCAATATATTACAACTGAGTATATTTTTAATCTCACAATAGTTTCTGAAGCTTGCCATATACAGTATACAAAATAGATCAGTGGGTCCTTCTGATAATTTTGCTCCTATGAAAAATAAGTCTTATTTGTTATGAAAAATTACTTGGGCATGATAGTTATCTTTTTCTCTGTAGAATGTAGTGCTAATGAATTTCTTCTTGTCCCTTAAAACTACCTTTTTATTAATACAGTGATTATCAAGGGGTGCACTGAATCTTTACTCAATATCCAGCTCTACATATATTTATAAAAGAACTTTTCATTATTAGTTTTGTTATCAGTTTCCTGATATGCAAGCTCATTTCTGAAAATTTCTCCTTTTAACTTTATACTTCCTGCACAGAAGGTAGCACTAATTCATCAAACCAATATACTTCTGGGATCCTGACTCTCACAACAGTTTACTCTGTACTTGTTTTTCAGGAAATTCTTTCAGATTAACACCTCCCACTATCCTTTGCCCTACCTCAGTAGTTATGTGCAGAACTTACCTGAGCAGATAGCTCCTGCATCCTCCTTATGCCCGCAATTGTGTTGTCCCCAGCCATGTGAAGGGCACTGCCACATATGTGCTTCTTTTCCATTACAGTTTACCTGATCCAGCAAGATGGGCTCTGTTCCTTCCCCAAAATAAGCAGAAGTAGTGGCATTAATGGCAACCCCACAGCCCAGATGTCTGCACACCACATGGGCATTTTTTAGGTCCCAGTTGTCATCACAGATGGTGCCCCAGGAGATCCTATGATAGACCTCTACTATCCCAGCACAGCGACCACCTCCATTTACCAGGCGAAGTTGACCACACTCTGGAAAGAGAAAGTACAATATTACTAAAAATGCATTTCTAAGGATTGAGATAGTTTTTATAGATTGATCACTGATTCTCACCTATGCAAGCAACAGCTCTTTCTTGTGAAATGGGAGAGCTTGTCAGGCTCAAAGATGTTGAATCGCAAGGGAATAGTCTCTGACTTTGGATTCCTGCAAATACCAGGAATTTTGAATTAGAATTAGACCAATTCTAAAGGTAGGGTGAGGAAGGGAGGCCTGATGAATGAAGTATTAGATAGGCGAGCTGGGAACAAACAGAGCTTTAGAGATAAGGAAATGGGACGGGTCAACCAGGCAAGGAGTATATCAGGTGCTTTAAGAAGCACAAGATAACTATGAGGTCAATGAAAATTGAGTTTACACTTTCTCTAAAAAGGTAAATGAGGTTAATATTCCAGTACATTTCTCGTGACCCCTCACGATAGATCTTTCCCTTTTACATTTGTTTTTCATCCCCATAGATACACCGCCCTTAGGGCCCAGCACCATGGGAGAGGCTCATCACTGTCTGCCCTCGATCCTCTTACCTGAGCAGATTACAGAGGCCACTTGCTCTGCAGAACATAGTGATGCACCCAGAGCAGTTACAGGACAATCTCCCATGTGTTGCTCAGTTCCAGTGCAGTGAAACATGTGCCTCCAGACCTGACTGTTTCCTTTCCCAAAATGTGCTCTTTCTTGGGTAGGAAGGGCAATTCCACACTTAAGCTGCTTGCACAAAACGTGGGCATCTTCCATGTCCCAGTGAGAGTTGCAGAGGGATCCCCAGGTCCCTAGAACCTTGAGCTCCACTCTTCCTTCACATGGCGACTTGCCATTCACCAGCCGCATTTCTGTGTATCCTGGAAAATAACAGGGCTTTAGAAAGATGTCTGTGATTACCTAGCCCTACTGTCTTCCAAGCAAGGGAACAAACTGAACATGTTCTCTGAGTCTTACTTGAGCAGACTACTCCAATGTCTCTGCTGTGACTGCAAGTCCCATCTGGGCGGGGTGCTACTGGGCAGAGTGAAAGATGGGACTCATGCCCCTCACACTGGAATTCTTCAGCCCAAATCTGTCCATTTCCTTCTCCAAAGTAAGCTCCTCCCAGGATAGAAACAACGGTGCCACATTGCAACTCCCTGCACAGCACATTGGCAGATTCCAGAGAGAAGTCAGAGTCACAAACAGTGCCCCATTTGTCACCATATTTAACTTCAACACGACCAGAGCAGGGAATGTCTCCTCCAATGAGTCTGGGTTCCCTGTGGGCTGAAATATAATATTTCAGTGAAAAAGAACATAATTCCAAGATTTTTTTTTATGATGGAAGTCAGGAAGGGAGTGAAAGTGAGGAAGGAAATTCAGGTTGTTTAGTGATTTTTCCACACTGGTTTCTCTTGGCTTCTTTGCCTAGAATTGGGCATAGCAAATTCTAGTCCTTTCCATTCCTCATTAGATCAATTCTTTTTGAGAGAACTCTGAAACTTTACTCCTGAAGCTGGCCTTTCTGTATTTTACTTACATTGTTTATAATATTGGAGACCACATATAATGTGTAGTCATTCTATCTTTTTTAAAAATATATATTTTATTGATTTTTTACAGAGAGGAAGGGAGAGAGATAGAGAGCTAGAAACGTCGATGAGAGAGAAACAACGACCAGCTGCCTCTTGCACACCCCCTACCGGGGATGTGCCCGCAACCAATGTACATGCCCTTGACCGGAATCGAACCAGGGACCTTTCAGTCTGCAGACCGATGCTCTACCACTGAGCCAAACCGGCTTTGGCGTCATTCTATCTTTTAACCCTGTAATCAGTCCTCCACCTACTGCCACCTGGGGTCTGCCCCAAACTTTTCAAATGGTTTTGGAAAGTTTTTCAATATGCTTCCTGTTTTTAAAATGAACATCAGACCCCCCTTTCCTTTTGCTATATTGCACTTGATACACAAGACACTTCTTTCTCCTCCTTCCTGCCTGAAAGAATCTTTCATGAATTCCTTGACTGAAGGTTCTAGCCTCAACTTTCCCATCTTATCAATGGACATCTTCTCTTAACTGCCAATAAATGCCTTTATTTATATTTTCTCTTTAAATATATATTAATAAACATACTTACTTGAACATCTGTAACTTTGTGTGTTCAAAATTGAATGAGTTATCTATTGACAAGCCCACTGTGTTCTTTTCCCAAATAATGATATCTAGACCAAATTAGAATCACCTGAAATTGAACCATTTCTTTATCCACCATAAATGCAATAATTATGATGGTAGTGAATACTAAGTGAGCACCTGTTATATATGGTATCTTACTAAGTATGTAACAAACATTTTTATCCTTATAATTGTCTTAGAAGAAATTATTAATATCATTCCAATTTGACAGATAAGAAAAATGAAACATAGAGAATTGTAGTAATTTGCTAAGTTTATACAGTGAGTTAGTGAAGACTGGGATATGAAGTTATGCAGTATATTCCAAAGCCTAGAACCTTGACTCTCATGCTACACTGCACATGTGGAAAGTCACCAATCTCTGTCAGTTTTCTGGCATATTTCTTCTGCATAATTTTTGTTATTGCTTTAATTAACTTGTCTACATATATCAGATAGTCCTTTGCAATAGCTTCCTAAGTCCTCTTTCTAAAAATTCTATGACACAATCACAAATATATGAATTACATTTCAATATTTTCACCTTTTAAAAAAAGATATTTTATTGATTATTTACAGAGAGGAAGAGAGAGGGATAGAGAGTTAGAAACATCGATGAGAGAGAAACATTGATCAGCTGCCTCTTGCACACCCACAAGATCAATTGTGCCCCGAACCAAGGTACATGCCCTTGACTGGAGCCAAACCCGGGACCCTTCAGTCCGCAGGCCGGTGCTCTATCCACTGAACCACACCAGTTTCAGTTATTTTCACTTTTTTGTCTTTAAGGTAATTCAATATTTCTTTACTATTTATACAATAATTTATCATTTCTACAAATATTATTAAGCACCTGTGATGTTTTCAGGATTTTGGGTGGTTTTAAAATCACAGAGTTCAGTCTATCAGTGAAGACAGATAATACTAACATTACTACTAATTATCATAACCATTTATCCATTATTTGATGTGTAATTCCTGTGCAGTGGGTATTTTGTTACCACCATTTTTCTTTTGAGGAAATTGCAGCACAGGGAGCTTTGCTAGGCTCCCCAACATCATCTATCTGTTAAAATTAAGGAAATCTGATAAACACTAATAAGATAGCATACTTTAAAATACTGTATGATGTTTCCTTAAAAGCCTTAATATCAATTACATTATCAATCATACCCGATGCTGCACTGTAAAGATGCTTGTGCATAGCATGGTTTTTCAAGCTTTTGTTCATCTGCATAAAGTGTCCTCTCTACTTAAAACACATATTTCCTACCTCAAATCAAACTCCTTAAAATACTGATTGAAAGTGTTATCTGAGCTGCTCTGGCCGGTGTGGTCAGTGGTTAGGACTTGGGCCTGTAAACCAAAGGGTCATGGGTTTGCTTCCCAGCTCCAGTCAGGACACTTGCAGGAGGCAACCAATCAATGTGACTCACATCAATGTTTCTTTCTCCTCCTCCCTCCCATTCTCTCTCAATGAAAAAAATATCCTCAGAATGAGGATTAAAAAAAAAAAAAAAAAAAAAAAAAAAAAAAGTCTTACCTGAGCAGGTAACTTTGGCTTCTTTATAATAAAAACAGGTAAGTCCACCCAACTGCCATTTCTTGCAATCCCAAATAGAAGTTTCATTTCCTATACATTGCTGTAAAAACAGCCACATGTTTGTTGGCTTAATTTTTGAATAACTTTGATAGGATACTTTGAGTGCAGATCCACATCCCAACTGTCTGCAAATCACATTAACTCCTTTCCTCCACCAGGTGCTGTCATACACTCATACTACTAGTTTCTGAATTTCCACTTCCACTGTCCCAGCACAGCGGCTGCCTCCTCCTATAAGTCTCAGTTCCAGATCTGATTCATCTGCAAAAGAAACATAAATTTAGATTATAAGTATATGTACAAGTTAACTCACAAAGGATTTAAAAAAAATCTTGCTCCTTTCCAGATACTGAGGCACTCAAAATTAAGGCTTACCATCTTAGGGCTTTTCTCACAGCCAGCATATATCATAAGTTTGGTTAGAAACAGGATGATAATTTCAAAGGTTAATAAAAACTGTCAATGGCAGAAAAATATGAAGAAGACAGATATTTAAAATATTTAAAATTTATGTTATTTTCTTCTCCAGAACTCCAGGTAGATTTAGAACTCAATAGCAATCGAAATAATTACTATAGAAAATTGCACCAGACAGCTCTTCAAACTAGTTAACAAAAGAAAATATTAAAAATTTATCACAAGTGTAAAAGAATTACCAACAAAGAAATTTTTAGATGTTTCTATCTCTCAAACCTATTCTCTTTTAAAAAATATGTACTTTATTGTTTTTTTTCAGCAAAGAAGGGAGAGGGATAGAGAGCTAGAATCATTGACCAGCTGCTTCCTGTACACCCTCCACCGAGCATTGACTGGAATCGAACCTGGGACCCTTCAGTCTGCAGACTGATGCTCTATCCACTGAACCAAACTGGTTTTGGCTCTCAATCCAATTCTTAATCCTAAAGAATACAGGTCCTTCCTTCTCTGTTTTTGTTTTGTTTTAACTTACCAGAACATATGACACCAGCATCTTTCTGATGATTGCAGATACTCTTTCCCAATTCTCTGTGTCTGCACTGCCAAATAGCAGATTCATGTCCTTGGCAGGCAACACTGTCGAGCCAAATGGGTCCAGTTCCCTCACTGGCATTAACTCAACCAATGCCAGTGATGGCAGTTGGGCATTCAAGCTGCTTACATGCCACAGCGGCTTCATCCCTATCCCAGCCATCATTACACACTGTCCCCCATTCTCCTTGGAATTTCACTTCTAATCTTCCTGAACATTTAGAGACTCCATCAACCACTCTCATTCCCAGATCTGCTCCATCTGTAAGAAGGACACAAAACAAGTCAGTGATAAAGAAACAGTAAGAGACTTTTGATGGAGTAGGTAAACTCAGTGCTCACTTCCTTCAATGTCCTTCAATGACCACATAAAAATTACAACTAAATTAGAGAACAACCATCATTGATAAATACCTGAAGACTAGCTGAACAGAAGTCCAATAACTAAGGATATAAAGAAGGACCGTGAAGGCTGGTAAGAGGAGTGGAGACAGGGGATGGGAACGTACCACATTCAGAGTATGGCAAGGAAGAATCCAGTGGGGTATTTTGGCTGCAGAGGTACGCTGAGGAACAAAGGGTCCCAGCCCCACTCTATGCTCCCCATCAATGTGGGAAGAAGAGTCCTCCTAACATTTGGCTATGAAAACCAGTGGGTATTGTGTTCAAGAAAGATAATTAGCTGCTAGAGACAGAGGCACTGCAGGTCAGATAGGGCCAGTGCACAGACTCACTTGTTCACAATCTCAGTCACACACAATCTCACTCACTGCAAGCTCCAGGACAGGGGATGCATCTCGGAAAGTTCCAGGGACATATGGGGAGAAACTGAACCAACTACCTTTAGGGTGAGAGCTGAAGTGACAGGGTTTGAGGCTACTCTGTCTGGGAATGGACATTCCTTTGTTGAATTCTCTTCCCACCCTGCCAGCCTGATGTAGGTGGGCACCAAATCTGTGCTCTCCATTAATCTGACTAACACCATTCTGAGCCCTGATGGTTCCCTGAGACCCTGCCCCACTCAACTCACTCCTCTAGCCTGAGCCTCTTTTAGTGGCTCCTCCATACAGTGGCCTGCCTTGGCTCCCACTGCAGACTTTCCCTCAATTTCTAAAACCCCAAACAAGCAGCAGCTTGCCTCATTTTTCTAAGTGGCTCCAAGCCCTGCACAAGTGGTGACTGGTCTCAACTTGCATTGTAACTCCCATCAGGCACCACCAAGCCTGGCATAAGTGATATCCAGTCTGGGCCTGTAATGTAGCCTCAACCAAGAAGACACAGGCTTGGCACAAATGACAGCTGGTTTCAGTTTGCAGTATAGTTTCTTCTAAGAACTTCTGGTTTCTTCTAAGAACCTATTTCTCAACACAAGTTGTAAGAAAGGAACAGATCACTTTGTCGGTTCTACCAAGAGTTTCCCAGAGAGACACAAGTGGAAGATGACCTTGGCATATATATGAGTCTCAACCAAAAGGGTCTTGAAGTAACACACCCAGTGATTTTACAATAATAAAAACAAAAAGGGTGACACTCAAACACACACATACATTAAAGGAGTAAAAAATAACGACAAAAACAAAAACATGGAGGGGAGAATAAAAATGGTAGTGATTTAAGAATGTGTTTGAACTTTAGTAACCAAAAACTAATAACAGACTGGTATAAACATTGTTCAATATATTGTATGTGAAGCAAATGACAAATCAAACCCCCCAAATCTATGAGAAATGTACAAAAAAATAAAGAGAAAGGAATCCAAACATAACACTACAGAAAGTCATCAACATGAAGAGAGGCGAACAAGAGAACAAGAAACTGAGAACTATAAAAACAATCTGAAAACCATTAATATAATGTCAATAATTACATATTTATATATAATTATTTTAAATGTGTACAGTCTAAAAGTCATAGGGTGGTTGAGTGAATAAGAAAACAAGACCCATTCATGTGTTGTCTATAAGAGGCCAACTTTAGATTGAAAGACACACACATACACTGAAAGTAAAGTGATGGAAAAAGCTATTTCATGCAAATGGAAACGAATAAAAATAAAACAAAACACTGGGATAGCAATACTTATCTCAGACCAAATAGACTTTACAACAAAGGCTATGGTAATGGAATCAATCCAACAAGAGGATAATATCTCTTGTGAATACCTCTGCATCCAATGGAGGAGCACCTAAATATGCAAAGCAAATTTTGGCAGACCTAAAGGGAGGGATCTACACTAATACAATATTAGTAGAGGGTTTAACACCACTCTGACATCAATAGATAGATCTTCCAGACAGAAAATCAGCAAGCAAAACAAAAGCCTTATATGACACATTAGACCAGATAGACTTAGTTGATACTTTTAGTACACTTCCTCCCAAAGCAGCAGTATATATATTCTCTTCAAGTGCACATGGAACATTATTCAGAATAGATCATGTTAGGTTACAAAACAAGTCTCAATAAATTTAAGAATATTGAAGTCATATAAAGCATCTTCTCCAACCACTAGGGTATGAAACTAGAAATCAGTTACAAGAAGAAAACTGAAAGCACATACAAACATGTGAAGCTAACAAAAGAAAGCATCCAAATGGAAAAGATGCTCGAATCATTAATCCTTCTGGAAATGTAAATCAAAGCCAAAATGAGATATCACCTCATACTTGTCAGAATGGCTAATACACAAAACAATGTTGGAGAGGATGTGGGGAGAAGGGAACTCTGGTACATTGTTGGTAGGATTGTACAACCACTAAAAATTAACTACCATATGACACAGCGATTTCACTTCTGGCTACTTACCAAAAAAACACAAAATATTAATTTGAAAAGATATATGCACCCCTATGTTCATTGGAACATTATTGTCAGTAGCGAAGGTGTGGAAGAAACTGGTATCCATTGATTAGATGACTACAAAAAGAAGATGTTGTACATATGTACAGTGGAATATTACTCAGCAATAAAAAAGAATGAAATTTTACCGTTTGCAACAACATGGGTGGTCTTAAAGATATATTTAAATTAAATAAGTCAGAAATAGAAAGACAAATATCATATTTCACTTATATGTGGAATCTAAAAAAACCCAAACCAACAACAAAACAGAAACAAGCTCATAGATATAGAGAACAAATTGATAATTGTCAGGATGAGTTTGGGGGATAGTTGGAAAAGCTAAAAAGGACTAAGAAGTATACATTAGAAGTTATAAAAACAGTCACAGGAATATATAATACAACATAAGGAATAAAGTCAATAATATTGTAATAACTATGTAAAGTGGCAGATGGGTATTTCATCTGTTGTTTAAATATCTAACCACTACAATGTACACCTGAAACTAACATAATATTATGTGTCTGTAACTGAAAAAATAAATTTAAAAAAGAAACAAAATATTAAAGGGAGTGTAGATAACTGTATCTGAAATGAGTTCAGGAAAAGAGAAGATTTAAATAGAGATAAAGAAAACAATGATATACTTTGATTAAACATTCCTAAAGATGACCGAAACTAATACAAAATAATATTGAATATAAATTGTATTTTAAAAGTAAATAAAATAACACATGAATGCACATAAAATAAGTGTTAAGAAAAAGAAAACAAAAAATTATTAAGACAGATGGAGTGGATAGGGTAAGAAGACAGGACTTTTGAGTATAGAGAGCATGCACTATCACTTCATAACAGGAATTCTAGGAGCTAAATTTTACCTAGTGATATGTTTTTTGACCACCAGAGTTTTTGTGGAAAGTGTTTGGTTGTTTTATTTTTATTATTTTTAAAATAAATATGCATTTGCATGTGTTTAGATCAGTGGTTCCCAACATGGGGCACACATCCCTCAGGGGGGCAATTTGAAAATGAGTTATTAGCAGTGAGTTCTTTGTATTTATTATGGATCTAGGGGCCTCATATATGGTATATAAATTTATATTGTGACCTATTTATGCATTTCAGTTCTCTGTTATATGTTTTGAAACTTTGTTTACTATTTTTTCAGATCACTTCATATTATTATAATATTTTTAACAATTTCTTCCTCGGTACTTCAACTGTCCTTTCGTTCCTTTGCTTTCCTCTTTCATGAATGCCATGTTATTTGAAATCTTGTTTAGACCAAATTAATGTCCCTTTAGGCTTCCTCCATGTCAATAGGAGTTCACTTTTTGAATAATAAGAATTTTTTAAGATGGGGCGGAGGGGGGTGGGGATAGGCATCAGGATTTTAGAGATGCTTAGGTGGGGCATGGCCAAAAGAGGTTGGGAACCACTGGTTTAGATGGTACCCACACACTCCAGTTTGCCTCAACACTCAACACTCAACACTCACTTTTGTCTCTGGTTACATTACCTGTCTACACTACCTAGTTAATATCTGCCTGGCCCTTTTTTGTGACCAGTTCCTTAGTGTAAAAGTAAAGCAAAGCAAAGAGAAAAGGAACTTAACCTTTATTGTTTTCACCTTCTCCCGAACAATATTCCTCAAAGAACAGAACTAGATTCTGAGTACTATTCTATAATAAATACGTTGAGTTTTTTTCCTCCGGCAGCTTTAGTTTTTGTTGCTACAACACTGTTTCCTATGACTCCTCAGCATGTATAAAACATTGAGGGAAAATGTGCTGACTGGGGACATTTTGATAGGTAAAAGAAAATGGAAGGTAAAGATAGTGTTTGTTCCCCATCCCCCAATCCCTTTCATTTTCTTCAACTAACAAAATTCATAGTTTATTTAGAAATCCCATTCTTTGTGGTTCAGATTACTGAAGGTCTGCTCTTCAACAACAACAACAACAAAGAAGCCAATTCAAGAAATAAAAAGAGTCAGAACCATGATTGCATTGCTTAAGTGCTTGAAGTCAGTCATGTACTTCCTGAAATTTCCAGTTTTCTGAGTCAGCGTTTTATTCCTTAAAAATAAGCTTGAAATGAATTTCCTTCATCCCCTATCCCCCCTCACCCCCAAATAACTGGTAAATACAGAGATATTTTTACTCTAACTATATTTTCCTAAATGCGCCTGGGGGTTCATGGCATAGAAGATCTTCTCCAAACTAAGGACTCAAGTGAAAAGGGGAGAATGTCATCCCTGCATATAAAAATCCATTGCTCCCTCCCCTGATTAAGTATGGAGCATGGAAGTCTGTAGACAGACACAGTACCTGCTCATCCTATTCATACCAGAGGAATAGCATAAGTGAGATTTTAATAGGAAACCAACAATTTTGTTTAATCACTTGATTCTGTAAATTTAAAATAATAGTTTGGAAAAGTATAGGTCAGTGTGGCTAAAGAGGGGACTTTTGTAGTTAGAGAATGATAAAAGGATTGAGATGGTGACTTTATTTTAAACTCATACAGAGAGCAAAATTTGCTAGTTCATTCTTCTTTTTCTTTCTTGCTTTTTTTTGTTTTGTTTTTTTTGTTTGAACTATTGCTTGAACAACCCCTTCAATCCTCATTACTTGAATCTCAATTTCACTATTTATCATCCCTCCTAATCTATCTTAATTTCAATTACTGTAAGAACTCAACAAGTTTTAGAACAGGAATCTGAAATTAGGTAAAAATAAAAAGACATGCAGTAAGAGTTCAGACTTTTAAGATTCTTACCCATGCCATCCTCCCTCCCCCTTTTGTCCTCTTTTGAGAACAGAACAAACCCAGAACAGTCCTTACCAAAGCAAATCACTCCAGCATCTTTAGCATGAGGGCAAATAGACTTTCCCCATTCCTGGTGCTTGCAGTGCCAGAGAGCTGACTCATTTCCATGGCACACAAGATCATCCAACCAGATTGGTCCAGAACCTTCTCCAAAATTAGCTGAATCAAAGTAACTGACAGCACTTCCACATTCAAGTTGTTTACAAATCACAGAAACCTGATCTGTGTTGAATCTGTTAACACACACTGTTCCCCACTGTTCTTGGAATTTGACCTCTATTCTTCCTGCACACCTGTGTCCTCCATTCACCAGCCGCAACTCCAAATCGGATCCGTCTAGAATGAGGAAAAGACCAGAGTTCAAAGTGATATTCATTCAGAAGTAATTTTAGGAAATTAGGTTCCTCAGGACACTTAGGATTTCATGGTTTCTTTAAAATAGTGCCTCATTTTGAATGCTGCTCATCTTCACATATTAGAATATTTAATCTTTTAAAAACAAACTATATAAAAATGAGGACTTTTATCTATATCTACTTGCCAGGAAAAATGTTTTACAGATTAAATTTATTTTCTGTTTTATTTTGTTTCCTTCTTTTACTAGAACAGAGTAAATATTCTTTTATGTAGAAATAGATAAAATTGAGTCTCAAAGTATTTAATTTTCAAAAGAGTAGAAAAAAATAAAATTGGTCTTACAACAAAATACTTAAAATGACTAACTTGTAATTTGTTGAGTATTTAAAATCTTTATTTTAATATTTATTTATTATAAACAATTCAGAGCATGAATAATGAGCTTTAGTTGAATTTGAAATTAGAAAACAGGAGAAAATAAAATGCATAATCATTTTCAAGTACACACTGTTGTATGCCAAATTATTAAACATTAGAGGCTCAGTGCACAAAATTCATGCACAATGAGGGTCCCTAGTGGCTGCCAGCTGCTGGTTGGGGCCTCTCTTCCCGAAGTTCGCCAACTGGCCCTGTCCCGGGGTTGAACATCCAAACAAGAGGACAATTTGCATATTAGACTGTTATTATATAAGATTGAAGGGGAAATCAATTAAAACAATTCATTTCTTACCAATTTTCTGTTTAAACCAAAAGTGGTTTTTCTGTTTGTTTATTTTCATCCCTAAAGCTTCTGATACCACTTTTAGGGGGAAAAACAGTTCTTTTATTAAGAAAATTTTCTCTATTAAGAACAATCTCCTTTCCATTAGATTGTCTATGAGGACAAAATACCCAAGAAAAGGGAAATTTGAGATGAAATTTTGGGAAACATGATGGACAAAAACTATTTGTTTTTGAACAAAATGTTTAGGAACCACTTTTGAAAAAAGCAATTCAACTTTAAAAGCTCTAAACTCCAGGCAAAGACCTACACTTCACAAGATTTTTAAATTATGAACAACTAAGAATAATAAAGCTCACAATCAAAATATGCATATGCGGTTCCAAGTGTATCAGCTATGATCTCTTCTTATTCTTCACAACTTTAATCATCATGTGCTATTACCACCATCACTACTTTACAGATAAGCAAACTAAGGTTAAATAATTGGCACAGAATCAAACACCTGGGATGTGGGAGGGAAAAAGCGGTGTGGCACCAGAGTCCATTCTCCTTACTGTTATGCTCTATTTACCCTGAGCATGTGATAATAATAAAAATCTCCCAAAAGGCAGAGACCCTGAGGATAGAGCATAATCAGAGAGGAGAATCCCAGAAATGCAGATTCTGAAACTAGTAAAAGGAGTGGCTATGCATTCCTATTGGAGCATTAGATGTGTAAAATTGTAAAAAGAAGTTGAAGTAATTCCATCCTGAGGCATAAAAAAAGAAAAAGAAAAAGAAAACAAGAGTTAAAAGTACTACCTGCTGTTTCTTAGCTTAAAAAAGTCAACTTTAGAGACAGCAATAATTATGATGAGAGTTTGGCAAGATTTATTATGACTTTTAACTTTGTTGTAGATGTTTGATGTACATGGTACTATTGGTTTTCGCTGAATATGATTAACAAGAAAGACAAGGAGGAAGAGGAGAGGAGGGAAGAGGAAGTGATGGAAGAGAAATGGGGAGAATGGGAGGAGGGAGAAAGAAAAGGGGACTCAGTTAACAAGGTAATGAGAAGCACTGAGCCATGAAGAACTAATTTAATTATTTTAATTTTCAAAAATATTTTTATTGATGAGAGAGAGAGAGAGAGAGAGAGGAAGGGAGAGGGAATAGAGAGATAGAAATATCAATGAGCTGCCTCTAGCATCCCCCTACTGGGTATTAAACCCGACATGTGCCCTGACTGGGACTCGAATCAGTGACCTCTTTGTTCATGGGTTGATCCTCAACCACTGGCGCCACACTGGCTGGGTGCTAACTTTTGGTTTTTATCACCTATTACAAACTATACTGTATCAATAATTTTTTTAAGTATTCTACCATTGAGTCCCCAGGAACTGAAGTTCAGAAAGGTTTAATAACTTGCTCAAAATAGTAGTATTAATGAGGGGCTGAGGTGGAATTTAGTCCAGCTTTTTTCTAGATACTAGCCTGCCTGTGTTGCTCCCATTACCCCACATTGTCTGGGTGAAGGGAAATTTTTTCTTTCTAAAATCAGTCCTATGGAGGAGATGGTCTCTAAGAAAGAGGCTGGGAGCTGCGAGGGCTGCATAAAGTGAGCAAGGAGGGATGAGAAGCACAGGAATGTGACACTGGGTCATAAACTTGACCTTAGGATTTGTCAGAAGGAAGGTCTGTCACGTGATTTTCTGAGTTATCTACTTACATGTTTTATAAATGAAGACCATCACATAAATTAAACGAATAACACTGTATACTGGCAGAAACAGTTATACTTTGTGATAAATTAATTCTTCCTCTATAAAGAAGGATTAGAGCTAAAAATATTTATTGATTTATTCAGTAAGTTGATTACCAGTTAGTGGACAAAATGGTAATAATTTCTGCTTCAGTATATGAAAGCTTCATGCCACTGAAAAGGGGGACAAGAAATTACTTTAGACAAGATTTTTTTTAAATGTAGAAATAGTAGGTATAGTAGGAATATGAATATAAACTTGAAGCCAGTCACTTCCTCATTAATAGAAGTATTCAGAATCTCTTTTGATTTATTTTTTACTATGGGCATTGTCATGTGTTTTTCTGTTTATTTTAGCAATGATTTGGTAATTTTATGTGTGAATTTGATTGCTTAAAAAAAACAATCTTCTTTTTGTTTTTAAACCATCTACCTATTTGCACCCCCACAAAGCATTTCATGTCCAGAGTTTGCCTTATGCAGGTCCTACCCGAACAGGTTACTCCAGCATCCTGTTTGTGAATGCAGTTACTATGTTTTCCCCATCCATCATGTTTGCAGTTCCAGATAGCCGATTCATTCCCTCGACAAGAAACATGATTCATCCAAATGCGTCCAGAGCCCCCACTGGAATTAGTCCACACAGTGGTTTTGATGAAAGTTGGACATCCTAACTGACTACAAATCACAGAGACCTCATCCATGTCCCAGTCATTATTACACACGGTTCCCCACTCCTCCTAGACTTTCACCTCCACTCTCCCAGAGCAATTGTTTTGACCCCCAGCCAGTCTCAGCTCCTTATCTGCTCCTCCTGCAACAATGGATAAAGGCAGCAATTGGTCAAGATCCAAAGAGCAAGTAGAAAAGTATTATGCTGTCGATTACCTATTTATTTTCCAAATCCAGGTCTGAGGAACATTCCTGGACCTATCTATCCATGGTACAATAGGAAAATGCAATTTCACAGGAATTCAAACACAAATATTGGTACCACAGGCTTCAAATTGAACAATGGCATAAATAAGTAAAGCTAACTAACACAATATGATGTAATATCTTTCTTTTATGGGTAATATTCTTTACAATGTCAATTTATATAATCTTCATGGAGAGTATACTGTTCAAGTAAGATAGTGCAATATTTTAAAGGGATGAGCTACACAAGTTTCTCTAACATCTCAAGATCAAGAGAAAGAAGGCTGATGGTGAGGATGAAAAGACCAGTTATAAGAAATTTTACACTTGTTTCATATATATGTAAAATACTATACATTTAAAAAATATTAGTTGAAATCTGACAGAAATGTATTTATTCAAATGGAAGTTGAAAGGGAGATATTTTTGTATTATCTTCTATTATAAAATCAACCCCCTCTTCCTTACACTCCTTCCAAGTGTTGCAGCTACCTCCTCATGATTATTTTAGCTAACACAGTAACCCGTGGTGTATACATTTTGCCTCCACCAATACAATTTTAAATAAGTTTTAGCATTTGAATTTACTTAAGTGTTTATTCCAATAAACATGAGGTGTCTCCTCTGTATTGTTCCATATTTTTTAGCTAGACATTATTTCAAATCTTTAAGTAAAATGTATTGTTTTCCTCTGTGAGAGTTGATTTTATGATCTTAAATGGGCGGAACTGTGTTATAATTTTGTGGTTTTTTTTTGGTTAGGTTCTTATTTTGTGCATTTAATAGCTGATCCTTTGAAATTATAGGTTTTCAGGAGGATTTTTTGCTTTTCAATGACTTTTTTTTCAGAGTGGGCTTAGGGGGCAAGTAGATTTGACAAAGTACTCACCAAGAGAACCAGTGATCAAACAGAAACTAAGAACTGAAATCACAGCAATAGTGAAAGGAGTCAAGTGGATAAAACATCTTCTAAAGTTTGAGAAAAAAAAAAAAAGAGGGCACAAGTATAGTCTTCCCTCAAAGAGACTTGGACAAGGCAG